ACCGACGGATATATCCGTCGGTAAAATAATAATTAGTTACCGACGGATATATCCGTCGATAAATCCGTCTGTAATTTATAGATGAATTTACCGACGGATATATCCGTCTGTAGAATCCGTCGATAAATTAACAAGTAATTATCGACGGATATATCCGTCGGTAAATTCATATGTAAATTAAAAATTATTTATCGACGGATAAATCAGTCGTAAAATTATATAATATAATTTAATTATTCACTAATTAAAAAATAAAATATTTTTTATTTAATAATTTAATTTAATCATAATTAGATTAATTTATAATAATTTATTAAATTAAGTAATTTTAAAAATAAATATTTAATTATATATAAATATATATATATATATATATATATATATATATAAATATAAAAATATAAAAATATATAAATATATAAATATAAATAAATATATATAAATATATATAAATATATATAAATATATATATATAAATATATATAAATATATATATAAATGTATATAAATGTATATAAATATATATAAATATATATAAATATATATAAATATATAAAAAATATATATATAAATATATATATAAATGTATATAAATATATATAAATATATATATAAATGTATATAAATATATATAAATATATATAAATATATATAAATGTATTTGTATATTTGTATATAAATATAATTTATTTGTAAATTGTTATCAAGAAATTCTAGTAGCTTAGTGGTTGGAGTATCAGCCTCGACTCTAAGGTACTGGGTTCAATCCTGCCAATGACATTTCTCTTAATCTGACAATAATTCAAAGTTATAAAAATATAATATGGAGATAAATAAATAATAAGAATATAAGGGGGAGGGGTTCTATAAAAAAAATAATGTTATAAATAAGTAAAATATTTAATAATTAATAAAATTATTACCGACGGATTTTGACCGTCTGTAATTTTAATATTTCTTGTAGTGATTGCCTCCTTAATATGATGTTCTTCTCTATGACACTTTGTAATGCATTATCTTCTCTACCTTGATTTATGTACTAATATGTGCAAATTTGTTCTCAGTTTCTATTGCAATATTTTTCATAATTATCAATGAAACAGGAAGATATTTTGATGATATTAATCTGTGTGAAACAGGGAGAGATTTTTTTTCTCTTATAATATTTTTTATGATTATCAATGACACAGGGGGAGATTTTTTGATGAATTAAAATCTGTGTGAAATTATTTCCTATCTCTAAATTAAACTAGGGGAGTTAAGAGAAGTCTTTGCTCATATGAGTTAGGGGGAGTCTTGTTATTAATATATTCAGGGGGAGATTAAGAGACTCTGACACTTGATATTATACTGTGCTAATCTTGAGCTGACTATATAGATTCAAACATTTTAATTCATTTCAGGTATTTCCTTGATCATCATCAAAAAGGGGGAGATTGAAAGCAATGAGGGGGAGATTGATGAAAATGTCCCTACATTCCCAAGAGATGATTTTGATGATGATTCAAGTCAACTACATTCAAGTCAACACCATTCAAGATGAATTAAGGACAAGTTGAATTTATGACGTTGGTGACAATGTGAAACATTTTCCTACATGCCCAAGATATGTTTTTGATAAAGATCATGATTCAAGGAAGCCCAAGATGATTCGTGAAGACTAGATAGAGTCTTAGAATACTGGATATGGAGGTACAAGTTGATGAAGTAATATTATGCATAAGCCTCCAAAGCACAAGTGTGATAAAATTCATAACGTGATATTTTTCACTGTCATAATCAATTATGATGCATCAGAAATGGAAAAATGATATTCTCTGTCATAGTTGATTATACTGGTAAAATAATCAATTATGGCAATTCAAATTTGAAAAATATATCTGTTTTGAAGAATAAATATTTTTTAATATATCCTTATTTTTATCCACAAAAATATTAATGTCCAACGACCATTTTTTGATGCTATTTTTCTATTTAATTAAGTTTTGATGAAAAATTAAAAACACACAATTACAGAATTCGAAAATACAATTTACATTCAATCAGTTTTGATAAAAGAATTCTGAGCAAGGCAACAGAGATACACCTTCTGAGAAAACCCTCTTCTCTACTGCCTTCTATGCTTTCATTGTTAATCATACTTGTCCTTGGAGATTGACAATCTACAGACTTGTACAATTTGTTATCTCCATTACCCAGGTGTGACTGTTCTTATTTTTATTACCTTCATCCTTTTTGTATTGGTAGAAAAGGAGGTGCTTTTCATCCCTAGTGTAATTCTAGGGAGGTGTTCATCCTTAGTGAGATTCTAAGGAGGTGTTTTCATCAATTGATTTGTTCAAAGGAGGTTTTCATCCCTAGTGTGATTCTAGGGAGGTGTTCATCCTTAGTGGGATTCTAAGGAGGTGTTTTTTTCATCCTTTAATTTGTTCAGAGGAGGTGTTCATCCCTAGTGAGATTCTAGGGAGGTGTTCATCCTTAATGAGTTTCTAAGGAGGTGATTGTCTTTTTAATTAGTTTACTTTTTACTGGTTCTTCTGCTGAGTTGATTGTAATTTGTTAACTGAATTTGAAAGATAGTGAATTGGGAGTCACTCTTGTGTTAAAAGTTGACTGAGAATTGGATGTAGGGTTAACTATACCCGAACCAGTATAAATCTCTGTGTGCTCTCCTCTTTCCCTTATCTCTTTCTCTTTTCCTGACTATATTATCGCTTCCGTCTTATCTGTGTTCAAACAAATTATTGACTCACAAATAAATTTTTAATTTGACATCTATTTTAATTTGTGCATCTATTCACCCTCCCCTCTAGATGTCATTTGTTTAATAACTAGGTGTGTGTGTGTGTGTGTATATATATATATATATATATATATATATATATATATATGTATATAGTTAGTCAACTCGAATCACATGAGTTGACTCATTACAGGTTGAACTTACTTATTTTATGACGAACTAGAAATTATAACTCATCTCAATCCACCACGGGTTGATTGGTTGACTCATTAATGCATATTTTTTTTTATAATAAGCATGTGATACTATAATGCAATAGCGTGGTGACATGACAAACGCTCTGGTGCAACTAAAATACAGTAATGTGGTGGTGCGACGAATGTAGTGATGTAGCAAACTCTATGGTGCGACTGAAATGTTATGGCATGGTGGCACATCAAACGCTATGACATGATTCAAATGCGACAAAGGTTGTGACGTGATTAAAATGCGGTGGCATGACAAATACAACGAATATGGTGATACAGTGGTGCGGTGAACGGATAACAAGTGGCCCAGATGTGACAATGAACACAATTGATAATAAGTTTGAGTGAGAGTTTAACTTATAAGTGTGACGTGGAGTAAAGGTAGAGAGATAAGATAATATCAATTAAGATTACTAATTTATTAATTATTTTTTAAAATTTAAAATAAATGGTGAGTTACCATGATCCGACTCGAACCAACTTAAACTATAGGTTAAATGGCCGATTTCGTTTTTAACTTAGTATCGATAAAAAGGAAAAAAATGGCCGGATCAAACTTGTAATGAACCGAATTGGCTCGAGTTACAAGCAAGATATCTCTATATATATAACTTTTAAATGTTTAGTCAACTTCCGTGTTATCTTTTCTTATTATATTATAAAATTATATTTTTTTAAGTGTCACCTAATATTATAGATGACAATGCATTAATTTTAAAATTTATGTCTGCAATTACATTTGAACTATCCTGCTTGATTTGGTTTCATTCTAATAATGTGAAGTGTATATTTTATGTCATGCAATTAAGCGATTTTGATAATTTTATTATTTAATAATTAGTTGATTTTATAAATTTAAAAAGGATCTTTTTAAAAATTTAATAAGTCTAGGTGACATCCGAAAAAAAAAAAAGAAAGAAAAAGTTGAGTAGCTATTGCTATATTAGTAACATCCAACTAATTATGGTTAATGCATCGTACACCATCTAACTTTAATAAATAATAGGAGCAAGGTTATTAATGTCTCACCAAACTATAATAAATATACCTACAGTATTAACACAGTTATATTAATTTTGAAATAAAAAAATCTAAATTTTTCCACGAGTGTAATATTTTAAAAATTAAGTGATTAATATATTAAAAGATTAAAATAAGAACAAATAACTAAATTTAAAAATGTAAATATATTTAAATTGAAACTTCTTAAAAAATACTTGTATTGATAAACAAAAATTATAATTTTATGTCATTTTATACTGGTTAATCATTTTAATAATTTATTAATTAGAGATGAAAATGAGATATGATAATATTATAATATATAAATGAATATAATTTTTATTTTTTAAAATTGATTTATAAGAATAAGTTAGGTATTTCATCATTTTTAATATGTTATCGAGTTAATTATAATGATTAAGATTAGTGACTGATCTTGATTATTAATATTAAGAGAGCCAAATAATATATTATCAATAAATAAATATAAAAAAAAGATTATGAAAGGGTGAGAGGTTAAATTTATAAATAAATAATTAAGTATATTTAATAATCATTAAATTTGAGGTCAAAATCATAAATATTAATAAAAGTTACAAAATTTAAAAAATAATGAAGGACAAAAAAATCATAAATATTATTGTAAGTTACAAAATTTACAGATGATTAGGATATTATCTTTTAATGATTGTGGACTAAATTACTCATTGTGGAACTAATACTGCACTACTTGCACTTGTTTTTGATATAAGGAACTTTGATGAAAAACTCTTTCTCAACCTAAGGAGTAAGTTAGAAAATGTTGCATCAATGAATATAATAATATTATAATATATAAATAAGAAAAAACTTATTTTAAAACGATTTCATATATAAAATTGAATTCATCATTTAAACATCTCTAAGAACCCCTTCTAATTTTATTAAGAAATTAAATGAAAATTTCAAATACATTTTATAATATCTACTCCATAAGGTAAATTAAACTAAAGTATTAATGTTTCCAAATGATTAGTGGATGGATCAGGAAATGTTACCAAAAATTCATTTCAGGATCATACATGAAATAAGAAACCAGTAGGTGGTCCTTTTCTCACCTTTATTTTCTTTCAGCTCTAAAATTTTGTATTGAAGAGACTTCAATCGTGTGGTAACGTGAGTCATTCAATGATTCAGTGGCAAATGCTAACACACGTGTCACATAAAATTCCGTCAGGATGTAACCCAAATATAAGCAGGTATATCCAACCTCGGTTTGCTTCTCGTAGTGTCCTTCCAAATCAAGAAACTCCCAAGGGTCGTTTATGGTTATCAGATAGTGACCAAGTCGGGCGTTCAGGTCACACACCCACTATTTTTGTTTACGAAGCAAAATACAACTGACACCGTTGAGAGATTGAGGAACTCACTTGGTGAGATTTTAGTGCACTACTATCTAGTAGCTGGCAGATTGAGCTTAGCGGAAAGTGGTCGAATTGAAGTAGATTGCAATGCAAAGGGAGTGAGATTGTTTGAAGCTCAAACCACAACATCATTTGCTAATTATGACTTTTCACCTTCTGAGTCTGTCAAGGAACTTGTTCCAAAAATTGATTACACTCAATCCATAGAAGAAATTCCTTTGTTGTTTGTGAAATTGACAAGATTCCATGGTGGTCAAGGATTTTTTTATTGGCGTGGCTTTCAGTCACCCTTTGTCTTATGCGCTTGGTTACTTTCAATTCATGAATTCATGGGCAAAGCTGGGTCGAGGAGAGACACTAGAGCCACATGAATTGTGCCATATATGGAAATGTGCATCTAAGGCTCGTGAACTTGAAGAGACAGCCAACCCTAGTTCGTTTCAACGCTAGTATCCGCAGCAGAATAATTCTCCTCTGCCTAGGAATTACTTTGGGAATGCTTCAGCAGCAATTGTTAGGTAAATATTAAATGCATGGATTTGAGAGGTCATATCCAAATCCTTATAAATTGACCATGTATCACTCATTGCAAACACATCAAGTGATAATATATAGAGTGCTTTATTTAGATACTTATTTGTCAACAAATTGGCATCAGAGCTTGAGAGTCTGAGTGTCTGAGTGCGTTAGAGAGAGTGTTTGAGAGTTAGAGAGTTTGTTCGAGATGACCAACTTAGCTAACAGCATGCCCCTGCCAAAGTTATCAAAAGGTGTAAGCTATGATAACTGGAGTCTGCAAATGAAGGCTCTCCTTGATTCCCAAGAAGTATGGGATGTGGTCAAAAATGGGCACCAAGAACCAGAGAATATTGAAGAGCAGACGATTGTCCAGCTTGCTGCATTGAGAGCAACAAGAGTAAAGGACAAAACGACTTTGTACGTGCTGTACCGAGTTGTTGATGAGTCTGGCTTTGAGAAGATAGCAAATGCTAAATCTTCAAAAGAAGTGTGGGATATTCTGGAGAAGGCATATAAAGGGGATAATCGCGTGAAACAAGTCAGACTTCAAACTCTTAGAGGCGAGCTTGAAAGCATGAGGATGAAAGAGGTCGAAGGGGTTGCCGAGTACATCTCCCGTGTTGAGACCGTAGTGAATCAACTCGGAAGAAATGGAGAGACACTGTCCACTTGCTGAGTGGTGGAGAAAATCTTAAGGTCCTTGACTGACGACTTTGAGAATATCGTTTGTGCAATAGAAGAATCCAAGGACTTGTCGGTGCTCTCGGTGGAAGAGCTTTTCGGGTCGCTTGAAGCGCATGAGCAGCGGAGAAGGAAGAAGATTCCCTTGATCAAGCACTCCAAGCAAAGGCAACCTTAAAGGAGAAGAAGGTTCCTTATGCTCAGAACACTCGAGGCCTTGGTGGCAGAGGCAGAGGAGGATATGAAAGAGGTAAGGAGCAAGTCAGTCAACAAAATTGGCGTGGCCAAGGACAAGGTAGAGGTCGTGGCAGTAGAGGTCGAGATGGTCAGTCAAGCAATTTCGGAGTTAAGTGTTTCAAATGTGGGAAGTACGGTCATTTTACTAGGACTGTTATTCAAGTATCAAAAGTTATAATTGTGGGAAGGTTGGACATTTCGCGAAGGACTGCCAATCTGAGAGGAAGAAGGAAACAAACCTCTTCTATGAGGATGCTGAGGAAGAAGGAGTATTGATGATATCGAGAAGTTCGGATGTCGAGCTAAGTTCAAACTGTTCTGACAACTCGATTTGGTATCTTGATACAGGAGCAAGTAACCACATGTGCGGGGACGAGAACCATTTTAAGGAGCTTACTAAAGTTGAGGTCGGACACGTGTCGTTTGGAGATGCATCAAAGGTGGCAGTAAAAGGCCGAGGTACAATCTGGTACCTGCAGAAGAATAGTCGAGTTGGAGAAATCAGAGACGTGTACTATGTACCCGATCTCAAAAGCAACATATTGAGCATAGGCCAGCTGATGGAGAAAGGCTACTCGGTTCTGATGAAAGACCGAGTACTATACTTGAAGGACAAGTCAAATTGTTTGATTGCCCGGGTAGAAATGAAGAAGAACATAATGTACAAGCTGGACTTGAAGATAGTCCAAGAGAGGTTCTTGAAACTTGACGTGAAGGATGAAGCAATGATGTGACACTTTCGATTTGACCACTTGCATTTTGGCGGGCTGACCAAGTTGGTAAAGAAAGAGATGGTGCGAAGACTCCTGTCTATGGAATTTGAAAAGAAATTCTGTGAAGAGTGTGTGCTCGGAAAGCATCTGAGGACCTCATTTCCGAGGACGGTCGAGTACCGTGCAAAGGAACAACTCGGATTGATTCACACAGATCTTTGTGGACCGGTTACCCATGAGTCCTTCAGTGGGAAAAGGTATTTCATTTCTTTTATAGATGATTTTTCAAGAAAAACTTGGGTATATTTCTTTTAGGACAGTTTAAACTGAAGAAAGGAAGTCCCTTTGTCTCTTAAATACAAATGGAAGTCCTACCAACTATATGGAAAGCTGTTCAAAGATGATGCAAATTATAAAAAGATTTAGAAAATAAAATCTTAGATACTACTAAAATTAGGAACTTTATATAATTAATATCTAGAATCCATAGAAAATTCTAGACATGTATGAAAGTAGAAGATAAATAATTCTAGAGTTAAGAGAATATTAAACAGATTGAATTTTGCAAATAAGAGTTGAGTTGAATTCAAATGACAAAGAACTGTAAATTGTTGAGAAAATATCAATTAAAGGTATTTAGGATTGACTTCCTTCCTTATCCCTCTTTTGTAATGACTTATGTCAATTAAGAGCGTCAATTAACCTAACAATGTTGATGCCACCTACTCAAATCATCCATGTTGATTCCTCACACATGAAATTCATAAGAAAACCTAATAAATGTTGATTCCTCACACAATTAACAGATTTTTCAGCATTAGGGTTAGGGTGTTTAAGCAATTGATACATTCATTCCATTCCTGGCAATTAACGTAACAAATATTCTTACCTTGATCTAGGGTTCAAGATATATTTTCCAATCATACCTAAAACAATCAAGAATAAATCATTCCAAAGCATAAAGGATAAGAATAACAACATCAAAGCATAGATTAATATCTCAAAATATCACCATGATACAAAAGAGTTCAAAGGAAGTGCACCGAATCCTAAGAGAATGAAGTTAGCCACTCATGTTGGCCATTACAATGCTCCAATTGATGAAGAAGTGAAGAGTTGATGATGATTAGACAAAACCCTAACAGTAGTCGTGCCTCCTCTCCTCCAAGACTGCTTCTTTTCTTAAAACACATCTTATCTTTTTATAAGAGAATTTGGGTCGGGCCTCGCATCATTCATTCGCTTAAGCGTTCTTCTTTCTTTCAATTTTACTCCAATTATGCTGACAATTATGCTCCTTACTCTTGTATCAAAGTATTCTCAAATTTATCCTATATTGGGAGAAAAATATATTAGAATTAACATAAGTTAAGTGGTTTCATAACAATTCAAGGCATAATTATATCAACTTTTACCACTTAACAACTCCCCCCAACCTAGAATCTTGTTTGTCCCAAGCAAAGTAATTTTTTTCAAAACAAAACCATCGCCTATTATCCCATTATCTTCCAGAACCATAACCTAAAAATTTTCAGAAATACTCTCAACTTCAAATGAAAATAGAACACATAAGCATTTAAGTTATAGAAATCAACAAAGAATAATTAGTCATCAACTATCCTCAAAGAAGCATGATATCTCAAATAGAGTTATATATACTCATCTCTAATTCTCACAGGTAAGTGTTTATCTCATTCAATCACTTCATTTAGACAATCCAATATTGATAATCATCTTCAAGCAATCAACAATTGTTAAACAAGACTTAAATCAAAAGGTCTTTTGAGGCTTGTTATGGGGCTGAGCTAAGAAAGAATTATTGGTTTTTCTGGGATATACAAAAATATTTGAGAAATTTAACTCATATGAATGATTCTTAATTAACAATTCCTAAATTCAGGTGTCAAACTTCATGCTTTTGTCCCTAACACAATGACAGTGAGTTAATGATCTCACAAGTTATTATTCCCCCCTTGAACTACTTTTCTATTTTTTTTTCTCTTGCTTTTGCATGTATTCTTTTTGGCTTTGCCAATTTTTTTAAGCTTTGCTTTTCCTTTTTCTTTACACCTTTTTTTTTTTAGAATAACAATACACCCCAATAATACCCGTAGGACAACAATAGCAATACCCAATAATAAGAAAAATAGTGTCATTCATACTCATTTCCTTTCTCAAATATAGGAAGGTAGATAAATAATGTTTAGGCTTAAGGGTTCTGTTTAAGAAACAATATTATTTTTGGCTCAGAAGAGGTTCAAATGGATGTCCTATAATTAATGTAGGGTTGACTATTTGGCTCTGGGTTATATCTACTACAAAGAAAAAAATGCCTTTATCATTTTCAAGTCTTGCCAACATGTAATCACATCAAATAATCAACCAATATCAGTTATCATCACAAAGTGTTGACACTCAATTTATCTGTTTGTGGTACTCTGCTCACCTGGGTTTTGGCTAGCTTCTCCAATTCAGTTAATTCCTAATTTTCCTTATCAATTCCTTTTCACTATCATACTCATCATCCTAAAATCACTTGTTATTGGAAACAATCAAAATTATTTTTCACGTTATAGATTGAATTAAACAATAAGAAATAATCTCGTATATGACTCTAAAACAAATTATGGGACAGCAAGGGAATTCAAAATTTAGAATAAAGCAATTAAAAACATTAAATTAAAAACAAAAGAATTAAAACATTAAAAATAAAGTAAGTTTCCTCCCTTATTTTCTTCACTTGTCATCTACTCCTTATCTTGTGCCTCAGCCTCAGCTGCAGACTTTCTCACCCCCTCCGGAAAAGTTGGACTATCCCCAGGCCATTGAAGTAAGATTTCAAAGTCTTGAGGAGAAGTTCACTGTGTACCTGGAGTAATCTTGCAAGGAAAGAACCTAAGGAAGAAAAATGCACAAAAAACTTAAATTGCAAAAAGAAAAAAAAAATTCAAAACATTGGGTTGCCTCCCAGGAGGGCTTGTTTAACGTCTTCAGCTCGACGCCTTTTTGTTTTAAGGATCATCTAAGTAGATAATGGGATGAAGCTCCTTCACTGCATCCCCCAAATATACCTTAATTCTCTGCCCATTGACTGTCCACGTTCTTCCTGTTGCTGGATCCTCTAATTCTACAGCACCATAAGGCCTCACAGATCTTACTACAAATGGGCCTGACCATTTAGATTTCAGTTTCCCAGGAAAAATTCTTAGCCTTGAATTAAA